TTTTTTTTTTTTTTCAGAAACCTTGCGACTATACACGGTTCTTCCAGTTCTCAATCGGGAGGCCCTAGAGGATTTTGTTGTACCTGGATATCCGAATTATGTGATCAAGAAGGGCATGGCTGTTGTTATACCTGCCGGTCCTATGCATCGCGATGAAAAGCTATATCCGGAACCGAATCGCTTCAACCCAGATAATTTCGAGCCAGAAAAAGTGAAGAACCGTGAATCTGTGGAGTGGCTTCCCTTTGGAGATGGACCACGAAATTGCATTGGAAAGCGATTCGGAGAAATGCAGGCTCGCATTGGTCTCGCAATGCTTATTCAGCAGTTTAAGTTTTCAGTGTGCGATAAGACAACGATACCGATTAAATATGACAAAAAAACCTTCATAGTAGCCAGCGAGGGCGGCATTTACCTGAAGGTCGAGCGAGTCTAAAAAGTGTGGTCACAAATTTATTTATAATAGTAAAAATTGCTTAAATGACTTTGGCAATAAATAAAATGTATAGGAAGCAATGGACTAAATGGATAAGTGAATGTCTTCAAGCAAAMATAGACACAAAAATKTAAATTCTATTTAGTAATTGATCACTTATTATAGTCATAAATATATCAAAACATTATTTATTTCTATTAGACCCAGGGTCACATGTAACACTTAAATAAAACAATAAAATTATTGTACTATAGATAATAAACTTATTCATACATTTCCATTATTGATAATTTTGGCTAATCGCAGTAAAAATACTTCAAAAACTACTAAAATTTTGTACTGTCATGCAGACTATGAAAGCTTCTATCTGCCGATAAAAAGAGACCCGCGTTCAGTCTGGCTCTCAGTATGCCACGAATGCTTATCGGCGACGGAAACGACCATGGCTTTCGGAATTATTCTACTTACGGCAGTTGTTGCCCTCTTGGGCTACCTCTTCTTGCGAATGAACCAACGGATGCACCATTGGGAGAATGCAGGAATTCCCTGCGAGAAACCTAACATTATCGTGGGATGCTTAAGGGGCGTGCAAACTAAGCGAGCTTTCCTGGACATTTGGATGCAGTACTATAAGAAATTCAAAGGAACTGGACCATTTGCAGGCTTTTACTGGTTCCAACGTCCAGCTGCATTTGTATTGGAACCTTTCCTAGTGAAGCACGTTCTGATAAAGGACTTCAATAAATTCACTGATCGAGGATTCTTTAGCAACCCCGAGGATGACCCACTTTCTGGGCAGCTATTTCTRCTCGATGGCCATAAATGGAGATCTATGAGGAATAAGCTTTCATCCACCTTTACGTCTGGCAAAATGAAGTACATGTTTCCCACGGTAGTGAAGATAAGCCACGAGTTTGTCGAGGTCTTTGGAGATATGGCAGACA